GCTGCCATCCTATTTACAATCGCATCAACTCCCTGCCTGAGCTGGGAATCATCTTTACTCGACACAGGTCAGGTGCCCTGCTCAGGGTGGGGAGCGCGGGACACACAGCACAGGCGTGGGGCGGAGTAACGCAGTGAGGAAGGGGAGGGAGAGGGACAGCTCTCCTCCCCCAGCGTCCTGGTGCTGGTCCCACTGTTTCGGCCTGAGATGGACGGCAGTGGCTCTGAGGTAGAATTGGGTTTGCTGGAGAGTGACGTAAGGACCGTGACTGAAGACGGGCTTGGCTCAGACACGCAGTGGGGAGGCCGACAGTCTAGGGCTGCTGTGGCCGCTCCAGGGGGTCGGGGACCTGCGCTCCTTCCATCTGGCTGCGCTGTCACTTTAAACATGTGGGTGCTAGAGGTCCAGCCACCACAGTCATGGGCCAGCCAGCAGGAGGGAGCTAACAGACCGTGTCAGCTGGCTTTGCCGTGTCCTGGAAGCCGCCACATCCTTTCCACTCGCATCTCCTTGGGCAGAGCTATTCGCGTGGCCATACCGACTAGGAGAGTCTGGGAAATGTCGCCTTTGCTCCAGGCTGCCATGTGTCTAACTGAAAACCCGGGTCTGAGACTAAGGGAGAAAGGATATGGGTGAGCAACCAGCCACGGGGTGGGGTAGGAGGATTGTGCCGGAGCAGAGGGACCTTGGGGATCCAAGGCCTCCCAGGGGACAGTGTCACTTCCCTGCTGCTCCCATCAGCCTTGGGGGGCACATGCTGAGCTGTCCCACATCCCTGTGCTGCCTCATACCCCACTGACCCCTCTCCGAGCCTCTGTCCCTGCAACCTTGGTCTCCATAGTCACCTCAGTTCCTTAGCTTGTGGGTCCTCCAGCTTCTGCCTCTCCAGTATCTCCCCGACAATGTTCACCACCTGAGACACCCCTCCCTTTCCTACCCGGCCCCACGCGCTCTAACCGTCAAGGCCCCAGGTCGGTCCTGTTGGCTGAAGGTGACAGCCTGTTCCCTGTCCCTTCCCCGAACTAGTCCACGTGGGCCACACCCTCAGGTTCATTAGAGATGGAGTTTTTATAACATATAATTCACGTATCAGAAACCTCACTTGTTTTTTTAGATTTATTGTTATTTACATTATTATTATTATTATTATTATTATTTTGTTAATCCTCACCCGAGAATATTTTAATATTTTTCCATGGATTTTTAGGGGGAGTGGAAGAGAAAGGGAAAGACAGAGAGAAACATCGATGTGAGAGAAACACATCAATTGGTTGCCTCCTGCACGAGCCCTGACCAGGGCCCAAGGAAGAGCCTGCAACCAAGGTACGTGCCCTTGACCAGAATATAACACGAGCCCTTTGGTCCTCAGGCCGATGCTCTATCCTATCCACTGAGCCAAACCGGTTAGGGCAGAAAATTCACTGGTTGAAAGTGTACAATTTGGTAGTTTTTAGTCTATTTACCAAGTTGTGCAACCATCACCGCTACAAAGAAGGATCGATAATCCAGTGGCTTCTCCCAGGATGAAGCTGCTCCTCTCTCTGAGCGCTGTGCGCACCTCCTCATGTAGGTATGAAAGGCGAGTTCAGACGCTGGGGTTCTGCTTGCCCCTGTGCCTCCCACAGTCACATCAGCGGTCTCGCACACCCCTACACACCATGCAGTAAGGGAGGGAAATGATGTCTAGCGGTGACAAAAGATGGACAGACAGCCACGTACGCGGAGGTGGGAAGGGTGATCCAGGCGCGGGAACAGCCTGTGCTGAGTCCTGAGTGAGAAAGACGGAGAAGTCTGGCCTGAGCAGACCAGGTGAAGGCAGCGAAGGGGTTTTGTCCACAAGCTGCGGCTCAGTTGGGTTCTCTTGGTGGACATCTGGTTGTCTCCAGGACGAGGGCAGCCTCAGACACATTCCGTTTGTGTTTCCTGCTGGGCTTCTTCCTCGGGGCGTGTTCCCGAGGCCAGTGTGCCCACGGAAGGACAGGAAGGACGGTGGCAGTTTTATTGGTCTCTGGAAACTGTGAGGCTGTTCTGAGGGCTGCGGGCAGCAGCGACGTGTGCGTGCGCATCTCTCCCCACCTCTGCCAACCCCAGTTTCACCTTCTGGATTTACGTTTGCTAGCTTAATGGATATTAACGGTGCCTTGGAGCTGTCTTAATGTGTGTCTTTAATTACGAGGGAGGCTGGCAGCCTCAGGGCTTGGCGGTGGGTCTCCCCTTGCTTGCAAACAAGGTGCTGGCTCCAACCTTGCTCTCCCACCAGAGGGCAGCAAGGCAGCGGGAGGGGAGATGACGCAACTTTCAGGGCCTGAGGCCTTGGGTTTACCCTCAGATGCCCTACTTACCCCCAAGCCCCTTTGCATTTCACTTTTCTTATTTCTGAAATAGGAATTCATTTGTTCAAAGCCATTCATTCTTCTGCCTTCTGCATCTTGGCTCCACTACTTCCTGGCTGTGTGGCCTTCAGTAAGTGACTCAACCCCTCTGTGTATCAGTTTCTTCATTATACTAGTTAAAGGGAGATGAGCCTTAGCTGGTTTGGCTCAGTGGATAGAACGTCAGCCTGTGGACTGAAGGGACCCGGGTTCGATTCCGGTCAAGGGCACATACTTCGGTTGCAGGCTCCCGGCTCTGGTCAGGGGCATGCAGGAGGCAACCAATCGATGTGTCTCTCTCACTTCAGTGTTTCTGTCTCTCTCTCTCCCTTCCACTCTCTCTAAAAATCAATGGAAAAATATGCTTGGGTGAGGATTATTTAAAAATAAATAAATAAATAACATTAAAAAACAAACAAATACTCCCCCCCCCCCCAAAAAAAAGCCCGCCACAAAATACAGGGAGGAGCCACTGGCGGGTTTAGGATGGGAAGGGTCATGACCAGCTAATATTTTCAAACGACTCCTTGGGCACTGGATGGAGGCTGCCTAGAGGAGGACCGGTACCAGCATCCCAGCTTTGGTAAAAGGCTCAGGGGGAGACAGGGCAGGGTCCCCTAGAAGTGTGGGGTGCCCTGGGGAGAGCAGGAAGGGAGAGCTGGCCAAGTGGCAGGCAGTGGGGGCTGGGATGTTTTCAGCTGCTAGGGCCCAGTTCTTGCAGGCCGCACCCTGAGTCCCTGGGCACCTGGCCTGGCACTGGGCACTGGGCCCTGGCCCCGCCCTCCCTGGCTTTGGCTTCCACTGCCTCCTCCTACCCCACCCCATCAGTCTCAGACACTTGGGTGGTGGGGGAGGGAGCCCCTCAGACTCTAGACCAGAAGGCCCTGGAAACTGTTTTAGTTTTTGAGCCTGGGACCCTGCCCCATCTGGTTAGGGAGCTGCAGTTCCCTCTCCTCCCCCCCCACCCCTGCACTGCTGGGGTGCCAGGCGGGGCTCTGGGAGAAAACGCTGCTCTCTGACTCAGCCCTTGTTTGTCCGGACCTCTGGCTGGACCAGGCCACCACCTACCCTGGCCTCCGTGAGCCTGTTCCTCCAGCCCCAGAGTCCTCTGCTCTGGCCTTAGGGTGGGACCCTGGCTCTCAGAGAACCCAAACCAGAAGGGAACTGGGAGACAGAGTCCTTCCTGCCCCGCCCCCACCCCCTGCTGTGCAGATGGGAAGCCGAGCCCCAGGGAGGAGAGAGCAGGGAGACAGCGGCTGCTGACTGACTACCTTGTCCATTTGTCTGCGTCTTTCTCTGCTTTTCACCTACTTCTTGGGCCCCCATGCCTCGAACTCCCTTAAAACCTGCCAGAAAAAGCCTTCTGAGGAGGGCACTTACTATGGCACTGTAGCAATAGCAAAGATGCAAATATGTAAAATATTTGTCAACAAGAGACAGTTTAAATCAGCGGTCGCCAACGGGGGGGGGGGGGGGGGGGGGGTCAGTGGACCACTGGTGGTCCGTGAGGTCTGAAAGGTTGGTGACCGCTGGTTTCAGTGGTGCTGGGGTAGCAGCATGCTAGAATGCACACAGCCATCAGGGCCAAGGCCGATGGTCCTGTGAAGCAGATTGCAAAATATATTGCACAACAAGGAGGTGCCCAGCTGTGGGTGTGGCTGCAGCCACCTGTTACAGAGGGACGCGGGCAGTGGCATCTCAGAGGGACCCAGAAAACGTGAAGGGGGGATCGAGGATGGGGGGCGGGGTGCGTTGGGAGTGCTGAGGGGAAGACTCGATTGTTTTTCTATGCCCTATGCAGTCTTGACATTTTTGATCAGGTATCTGAAAACTTCTTCGAAGGAAAAATTTATTCAAGGGAAGGGACCACTGCCAGGCTCTGATGAACGTCCCTCAACAGCGAACCGAGCCTGGGAATCCCAGGACCCGCGTGTCAGGGGATGGGGGAGCCCCTGCGCAGCCTCCATCCGGCCCCGTCTCCCTGGGCCTGACTCAGCTGAACCAAGTCAGAGAACCAGACCGAGGTGCAGCCAGGCATGTCTGGAGAGACGGATGTGAGAGCAATTGCGACACGGCCCCTGCCCCGGAGGCCGAGGAAGGCTGTGGCTCGGAGATGGGGCCCAGGGGTGACGCTTGGCGAACCCCAGCAGATGCCCCAGGAGACTTCCTGGGCTGGAGGCCGCGCGGGGATCCAAACAGAAGTAAATTCACAGGGGGCCCAATTGGGACGGACCCCTGATATATGAACCACCCAGGGAGCATTTAAGGAACGACTGAGCCAGGCACCCCCCAGGGATCCTCAGGACGACTCCCTGAGAGGGTGACCTCCGTGGTGCACCTCGGGGTTATGTTAGGAGAGGTGCACCTCGGGGTTAGACGGCTCTCCTGCCAACCACCCTGCGTGGCTTCCCGCTGCCCGGTTGGACCAGCTCACCTCGGTCCTGAGCAACTTGGCGCCCTGGCCCACTGCCTTCCTCCGGTTGGTCCTGCTGCTTCACAGCCGAGTGACGTGGAGACGTTACTGACCTCTCTGAGTCTCAGTCCTCCTCTGTTCCAGGACCCTTTAGTCCGCAGGTCACGCTCTATTCACTGAGCCAAACCCGCTAGGGCCACTTATTTTCTTAATTTAAGTTTTTTTGTTAGTATTTTAATTTTTTTCCACTTTCGTTGTTGAGCCCCCGCCGGATGCCTTTCCTGAAGCGAAATCCCTTCCCCATCCATGCGCCTACTATCGCTGCATCGTTACAGTGTGATTTTTGGTAGCTGTCTCCCCAGGGACCATGTGGCTTATTCTTACGTCGCAGTACCCAGCACTGGTGAAGGAATGAGGCCGGTAGAGAGCAGTGGGGGACAGAGAGGTCCTGCCTGTTGGTCTAAGAGATGATGCTGCTGGTCTGTGCATCGAACTGCTCCCCTCAGGAGCCCCACCCACTTCTCTCACAAACAGGACACCGAGGCCCGTGAGGTCACCTGCCCGTGGTCCCCACGTCCTGTCTCAGCCCAGTGCGCATAGAGTATCGGGTGGGGCCAGGGGGGGCGTGCTGGGGGAGGTGGCATGGAGCCAGGCTTCACGGGTTGGGCGACAGTTGGGGTAAGCTGGGGAAACATCAAGGGGAAGAGAAGCCAGCAAATGAGAAGATGCAGCTGTGGGCACCCCGACTCACCCCATAAGGCTGGGGCCCCCTGAGGGGTTCTGGAAGGTGCAAGGCCGAGGTCACCCTCACGGGTTTCAAGTTGGGAAACAGAGGCCCAGAGAGGTGGAGACTCACCTGCCATGGCCCATGGAGTCAGGAGAGCGGGGGGCCTTGCTCTGGGGGCCTCGCGGGCCCTGTGAATCAGTCCCTGCGGGAGACGCTGGGAGGGTGCAGCTTGGCGAAGTGGGGGCAGAGGAAGGACTCTGGGGGTGCACAGGCCAGCCTGCACCCGGAAGGAGGAAGCTGTACAGGGTGTCTGTGGCTAGGCCCGGGATCCCCCACCCGGGGACTTCCTCTTCCTCTCAAGGCAGGTGTAGCTGCCACAGCGCGACCAACACCCTGACCTGTCATGGACGGGGGCAAGGGACCCAGACTCAGAGACTTCCTGAGTGGGAGCCTGGCCACCTGGGTGAGGCGGCAGGGGGAAGGCGGTGGGGAGGGGAAGTGAGCAGTAGGGAGGGGCTGGTGTTGGTGTGGGGAGGATGGGGCAGAGATGGGGACTGGGGGCGCTGGACTTAAATGTGGGGCTGAAGTCCAGGCAGCTGTGAGGCAGGAAAAGGGGTCCAGATCTTGGGGCCCAGGGACATTCAGGGATTTGGTGAGAAGGGGGCTGTGTGGGTTCAGGGAGCTGGCCAAGGGGGTCAGGATTCACTCTATTGATGGGGGCTTCACCTGAATGACCAGCTAATATTTTCAAACGACTCCTTGGGCACTGGATGGAGGCTGGTGGGAGAGGCGGCCAGCTGACCTCTCTCTGCTTCCCACAGGCGCTGGGACTGGCTGGGCTGGTGGGAGAGGCGGAGGAGCCTGAGGAGGAAGAGGAGGAGGAAGGACAGAGGCCCCTTTGTCCCGAGAAGAGGTTCTTGTGTCTCAGTGATGGGGCCCTGCTCCTCCGGGTGCTGGGCATCATGTAAGGGGCCTCAAGGTCTGCGGGGAGGGGACAAGACAGGCTGGTGGGCAGAGCCTGAGGTCTGGAGGCGGAGCCTGGCTGAGGGGAGGTGGGTCCTTGAGTCCCTTTCCAACCAATGGCCCCCTGTGCCCACAGTGCCCCTAGCTCCCGAGGGGGCCCTCGGGTGATCAGGGACCATGGTGATCCGGCAGCCAGTAGGGTGCGGAACCTGAACCACCTGTGGGGCCGACTGAGGGACTTCTACCAGGTGAGGATCTGGGAGAGGGAGGCTGAGCCTGGAGCCCCCACAGGAAGGCCCGTCTCATCTCCCCCCTCTGTGCCCTCAGGAGGAGCTGCAGCTGCTGATCCTGTCGGCACCCCCAGACCTTCAGGCACTGGGGTTTGACCCCTTCTCAGGTACCCTCTCCCACCCCCCTGTTCCTGCATCTACCCCTCCTGCCGCCTGTTAACCCCTTGTGGCTTGTGCCCTGCAGAGGAGGCGGTGGAGGAGCTGGAAGGCATCCTTCGGCTGTTGCTGGGGGCGTCGGTGCAGGTGAGCGGGAGCGGGCAGGGTGGGTGCAGGTGAGCAGGCAGGGTGGGTGCAGGTGAGCTGGAGCGGGCAGGGTCGGTGCAGGTGAGCAGGAGCGGGCAGGGTGGGTGCAGGTGAGCGGGCAGGGTGGGGCCCAGCTTTGGCTGCAGAGGTGGGAGGCTCATGCCAGCCCTCACCCCGCCCCCACTTGTTCCCCTGCAGTGCGAGCACCGGGAACTCTTCATCCGCCACATCCAGGGCCTCAGCCTGGAGGTGCAGAGCGAGCTGGCGGCGGCCATCCAGGAGGTATGGCTTTGGACCTGCACTACCTGGGGACACCCTGCCTCCAACTTCTTAGGCTGAACTGCTTTCCCTACCCACCCAGGTGACCCAGCCTGGGGCGGGCATGGTGCTGGCACTGGCTGGGCCCGAGCCTGGGGAGCTGGCACCCGCAGAACTGGAGACGCTGTCCCGGAGCCTGATGGGGACACTCCTGAGACTGGCCCGGGAGCGTGATGTGGGGGCCCAGGTGGGGGCAGCAGGGGTATGGTGCAGAGGGCCAGGTGGAGGACTGGGAGGACCGCGGGGACCCAGGTGTGTGGGGAGATGGGAGTTGAGGCCCAGGTGTGGGGTTGGGGGTCTTTGCCTGACAGGGCTGTAAGAGCCAAATTCAGCTTGTGGTGACGGTGTGTGTGTGGGGGGAGATGTGGGGGGCATAGGGTAGGTTACTTCTGACCCCTGACCCTTGACCTCCCACAGCGGCTGGCTGAGCTGCTGCTGGAGCGAGAGCCAGCCCCCTTGTTGCCTGAGGCTCCTGCTGGGACCCCTCTGGAGGGCTCCTCCAACCACTTGGCCCTGCAGCTGGCCAACACCAAGGCCCAGCTGCGCCGCCTGCGCCAGGAGCTGTGAGTGCGCAGGCTCGGAAGAGGCCGGAGGGAGACGGGTAGCTTAGGCCTGGACAGCCCCCTGCATATGGGTTGGACCAGGCCTGGGAAGGGTTGGGGTTGCTGGTCCCCAGTCCCTCCAGCGTCTCCTTCCTCCAGGGAGGAGAAGGCCGAGCTGCTGCTGGACTCCCAGGAGGAGGTGCAGGGCTTAGAGGCCGAAATTCGAAGGCTCCGCCAGGAGGTGCGTTCAGGTGCTCCCTGCCATCGCCACCTTTCCTCACCTTCCCCGGCACCTCCCACGTCCCATTTCCCCTTCTACCCGGGCTCCTTCACGTCCCCAATCCCTGTGGCTGCGGCTGGCCGTTCCCAACGCCGCACCGTCTGGCCCAGACCCAGGCGCTGTCGGGACAGGCCAAGCGGGCCGAGCTGTACCGCGA